AAACCATAATCTATACGTTTATAACAATTTTAAAATAAAAAATAATTTTATTCTACCGCAAGGAAATAACTTGAAATATTCATTCTAATATTTAAATAATCATGGATCTTTAAGTTGAAGTTTGATAATTTATTATTTTGTTAAATTACATATCACAAAAAGAAAATATTAAAAAATATAAAAATATTACAACAGCTATCATAACATGTTCTCAATTTAATATTATGAATTAATTATTATGAATTTTTGCTAAATAAATTTGTTAATAAGTCAAGCTTGTTCTAGGAAGACCTTACGATTAATTGAATACCAATATTGATGGATTTATGTTTATTTCTTCATAAATAAGACGTCATTATGGGAAAAGGAAATCTGATGAAGGTCACTTTCGTTACAGACAAGGGTCGTGGTAAATGAAAGCCGGCATGACACGCCGTGGGAATCGTTATTGTATGCGCAGCACGCAGGCGGACGCCAATGCCGTCGTCTGATCGCGGCGGATCAGGACGCATCGGCGCGCCGGGTTTTCAGGGAACGCGGAAGGGTTCTCTGGCTGGTATTAGCCGAGTGGATCAAGAGCAAGATGCGGGAACTGCATTATTTCCAGGATATGAAGAAGTATCGGCTGCAGCTCGCACGGGAGTCCGACTGATCGAGAACGATCACGGACCCTGCCGTTGTCATCGTTGTACGATCTAATGAATGGATCCGCTATTTCTTGAACATCATCAGTCACGTGATCTGATGCTCTGACGCGAAATCGTTTTACCTAATGACGCGTGCTCGATGGCCGTGGACGTCTCTCTCTCTCTCTCTCTCTTCTTGTTTTCTTGAACGTACGTCGGAAATTATTTGAAGATATAATGCATAATGAAACAATGTTGTTATGTGATATTTAGATCTGAATGTTTGAAAAGTATTTCTTTTTATTATACAAATTGTTAAATTATTAGTAGTTCGCGTTAAATAGAAACACGATTTAGAAGATTATGTGTACTTATCTGAATTTATCGATATCTGCGATACTTGTACGTATTTGAAATACATTAAATATTTCTGTGGGTTGAGCACATGCCTTTGGTAAATTAACAATGCTGGATGAAGTGTGGGATTCAATCTTATGTTGGAAATGGTAGGATCTGATTCTTGATGTAATTCTGAATGTCGATGTATGTTTGTTATACACACGAGGACATAGTCTCGGAAACGGCCCACATGTTAAGCTAAATATTCCCAAACAACACGAAAGTTTAAGAGACATCCTATGAGGACTATTTATAAGAAATTTAACAGCTTTTTTAAGTACCTTTACGATGCTTTTTAGACATTTGTGTTGTTCGGGTTTTTAATCCATGTACATTTTCTTTTAACTACTTTTTAATATCCTATCTCTTTAAAATGGTAACAAATTACTCAATCAAACTTCTAAGGGAAAGAATATTAGGAAAAAGTTAAATTATATATAAAAGATATAGGAAGTGTAAATTAAATTAAGAACAGAATTTCCATTTTTCGGATCGGATTATTATCAAATAAATTATCGACGCTGAAAAATCGATGAAATACGGTACCTGGCAGGGCGTTGAATCGAGCTTATACATGTGCAAATGTGTCAACTTTGGCCTACATCAATTAACAAATATAGAGATCTATATTTCTTACGAATACTGAAGTGCCAAAAAGAAGAAAAAGAGAAAAAAAAAGAGAATAAATTTGCTTCCCCATTTGTCGATCGACTGCGAAAGTACTGACGTACTTCATTATTTCCAGTACGTGGTATAATGTAATTCGATGTGCTTTTTTTTCGTGTTAATTGTTTAAGAGTTTATCGAATTGTGTAAATCAAGTGCGTTGAAATTCAAAATATACGGATATTTATTTAAAGAAGACGAAGAGCAAAAAAAGAGAAATTTAAAGCTTTCACGTATTAGAGATGACTGTTTATATTTTATCCATACGTATGTGTGAGTATGTACGTGTATGGACTTTATTGTCTTCTGATTAAAACTACCAGTCAGTAAAAATCAATTTACAATTGTAAACTAATTAAAGTGCCAATAATGATTTTGTCACAAATTTGCCAACATATATATATATCTTTCTTTCTTTAAAAAAATTGTATTTTTACAAATTAATTAAATATTAAATTTCTTTTAATATTTGACTCGACAAGATATATTCAAGGAATCTTTGATAATAAGGAATTTTAATAAAAAGAAAACTTAAAAGAAAAAAAACTTGAAAAAGAAATTTAAAAGAATTATACATTACTCTTTTATACAACTTTAATAATTGATGATTTGTTCATTTATATTCTTTGCTCGTACAAGACTTTACAATCAATGTCGTACTGCATAATACAGTAATTTAAATGCAATTAAAAATAATTTAATTCAAAATTTTGATAATAAATTGGAGGTACATTTAACAATAAACGATAATTTGTTGTTTCAATTATATAAGTGTTTGAAAAATGCTGTTTTGATAAATAAAAATGTGTAACATTGATTGTCATAAATTCACATAGCCAAGTAATCTAAATAATCAACCATATAAATACATACAAAATATTTGACAATAATTAATTAATAATAGATCTTGAAATAATTATACAAGACCAATTGAAATTATACGTATATGATCATTAATGTTTCAACAATTCATTGTTGTTATGAAAATGCGATTAATGCAATGATCAAATAATTATTTCGATTCCATGAGAACGTAGTAATTTGACAGCGTTGTGGATTTAATTTATTACGACACACTGAGTAAAAGAGCAAAATTACAGATATTATGTTAAATATCACATAAAAATTAATTAATAAATTTGTTATTATTACACAATTTATTTCTAGACGTACAGCTTTTTATGCATTGTTATTATTATTCTGTTATATTAAACAAACAGACTTTTAAAACAGATCTTTTTTAAATGTGGAATTTGTCATTTTATGCAATTTTATGGTTTTTCTATTCTGCTATTTGCCAATTCTACTAAATGTACATATATGTCAGTTATGCTGTTAAAATTAAAATTTTTAATATACTTATTTATTATATAAAAATAATATTTCGCAATGATATTATCAAATTATACAAATCTTTTGTCAAATTAATATAAATGAAAATATATGTACATGTACGTTTGTGAATGATATATAATCAAATTTAACTTTGATTTCTAAGGAATTATAAATTCCAAGCCAATGTACACGATGTAACAAATATTGCGAAAGATGAGAAAAAATGTTGCGGTAATTGCGTTTTCACTTGTAATTTAAATTGAATATTATCAAGGCAAATTATATTCAAAACTATTTTTATATATAATAATAATTATATATAATAATTTTGTATATATAATATTTATATAATCGGTAATTTATATATCGGTAATAACAAAACATACATGTATATTGATATTTTTTAATTATAAAGATATACAAAATATTAATTATAAAAAATATACGAAAGAATTATATAAGAATTATATTATTCAAGAATTATACAAAAGAATTTTTTTATTAGCAACAGTTACATATCTGATTACAGATATCATAATTTGTATGAAGACATATACATGTATTATGTACTTCTCCTTTTATATGCTCTAAATTATAACACATATATCAATATAAACGTAATTGAAATAACATTTTTTCTACGAGCGATTAATGTTACATAATCTACACACCGTAATATATACATTTTAGTTGTATTTGCATTTCAGATGTGTATATTTCTTTCGAATGACTCGACTTTTCGATAGTGAGTAACTTACTTTCGATATCGTCAATGGCTAATAGGGAGTTATCTGCCGACACGATTGTACTTGTATTATATATAATTTCATTCGTTCCTTGATTTATCTAGCGCTGTGCTTCGCCATTTTGATCATTATAATATTTTGGCTAGCGCGACGCGACGATATTGTAGATTCTGTATGAAGAATGCGAATATATTCTCATTCTATTCTTTTTGTACGTGAGAATATTTGCGGTTATATGCCTGTTTCGGAGATCGGAGAATGGAAGATGAGTCGTGATTTAGATAATTTCAAATTAACATTTATTTGAAAATTGTTACACGCGCAAATGCTGCGCAACACATTGTGCAGTATACACAAAATACATTAACATATGTATGTATGATATTATGTACAAATAACGGTACTCGTTTAAAATAAAGTCGTTTACAAATATATATTGACATTCCTACATTCTAGACTGCAAGTGCATATAATATATATAAGAATGGATAAAAAAGATTTTTCTCTAATGATATATCATATTAAAGATTAGACACACTATTTTTAAATACACGTGATTGATATAAATTCTTAAAATTACCTTTTTATTTTATATTCTTTTTTTATTTATAAAAACATATATGCATTTCTTATAAATTGTATATTTTAATATTTGTTTGTCAAGATATTATGCCTGCATTTGATATGCAAATGTTAATATTAAACAATTTTTTATCTTGTTATCAGTTGCATCATTGTAACTTTGATTAACCGTGCGATTAATTGCACTTTATCACTTATTATTCTCGTACTTTCATTACTGACTAGAAATCTACGTAGACAAATATAATTATATATACAAATGAAAATTCCCTTTGTTGAGTAATTTTTTAATCTAATTTTAATTTTGCTTACGAAAAATTAACGTCACTTTCACTTGCATTATGCAAATGAATGGAGTTAATAAAAAGTTGGGAAAATGTTTTCTAATCTCGAAACGATTCGAATATTTACATTATGATTTTTTGAATTGTTTTAGAAAAAAACGTTCATACAGATTAATCTTAGAGGGATGCTGTAACCAGGTTCGAATCATGTTCTTCACTGACAGGAGTTGATGGAGCCTCAGTATTCGGCGTAGGTGGATCACCGCTGCTACATTGGTGATCTGTTGTACCTGTTGCATAAAGTAATTTCCGTAATAGTATCGTAAATTTATACTAATCTTTTTTATTAATACAAAAATATAAAAACTCTATATCCATTTAGCATACAACTTATTATATATAAATATACATGAGGCATTTTCAATATTTAAATTTTTGTCATTCGTGTCACCTGTAAAAGAGTTTGAACGACTTCGATCGGGCCAACAAATTTTACAGAGCGGTTTTAGAAAACGGAATTTTGGTCGAGACACACGTAGAAGTACGTAGATGTATGGATCCAAGGTAAAATGAATGCACAAAAGAATATCCGCAATTAGATGGAAAATATAAATACATTTCCGTGCAGTAGTTGCCGTTGAAGGTAATTGCATTGCAAATTGAGCTAGTGGAATAGAAATCTAGAAGAAAAAATAAGAAAGCTTAGTAATTTAATTAGATTATTGTTAATGAAATATTATTATATATTATCATTAATGAAATATTTGGAGATGTGCACTATAAGCAGATGTTCCATGATTTATAGACTTCATGTCTAAATATCTCGCCATGCTTCTAGTCTATTCCAACCGCGAATATATATAATATTTATCGGTGGGCGGATATACGCTTATTCGATTTTGAATAATAACTCGTTATTAATTGCAAAAATCGAAAAATGATACAGAACTTTTCTAATCTAAGCTTAACTCGTTCTACTTGCGCACAAGCAGTGTACCATCAAAAATTCAACACTGTGTATATATATATATATATATATATATATATATATATATAATTAATTAATTAATATATATATA